TTTTGAGACTGAGTCTCTCTCTGTTGCGCAGGCTGGAGTGCAGTGGCACAATCTCAGGTCACTGCAACTTCTGCCTCTCGAGTTCAAACAATTCTTGTGCCTCAGCTTCCTGAGTAGCTGAGATTACAGATGCATGCCACCATGCCTGGCTAATTTTTGTGTTTTTAGTAGAGACATCATGTTGGCCAGACTGGTCTCAAACTTCTGACCTCAAGTGATCCACCTGCCTCGGCCTCCCAAAATGCTAGGATTACAAGCATGAGCCACCGCACCTGGCCAGTCCTGCAGTCTTATATCCCATCAAGTTGTGCGAAGCTAGGAGCTTAATCTGTAAAATACTTGAGGCAGGGATAGGTTCCTTGTCTATTTTGGCTTTTGGCTAAGCAGAAGTAGCTCCTGCTCTAGGCAGCTTGAGACAGAAAGAGAAAGAACAGTTGATTTGACCTACCTCCGTCCTTGTTCTTCTGCTAGCTGGCATTATTCTTTTCATAGTTCTCTGCAGTTGAAAGAAGTTTAGAGAGTTTGCTGGAGATGTTTTTGTGAGTGAGGTATAGCTCATGTCTATGAGCCATGCCTGCTTACTTACCTAGATTATTAAGCATGGAGCTAGATGACCAAGATGACCAAAATTTTATTGAATTACAGTTATAAGTGGAAAAAATGACTGACTTACTGTGTGGAGAAGTATTATGTCAACCTGTTAAAAGTTATGGAAATTAAAATGCTCATATATGTACAAAATATAAATGACATGTAAGGTAAAATTATAGTGATCAATTTACGACAAAGAAATTAACAGAGTAGTTTTTCAGCTTGTTGGATTAATCAAGCAGGTTTAGTCTTGAATCCATAGCATTTCTACAATTTAATTTGGACAAAGTTCTATTCCAAATCAACCAGGTTTTAAAACTGAAATATTAAAGGTGGATTTTTTTTTTTTTTTTTGAGACAGAGTCTCGCTCTGTTGCCCAGGCTAGTGCGCAATGGGAAGAAGAAAGGTCATTTCTGCCTCGATCTCCTGGGCTTAAATCATCCTCCTGCCTCAGCCTCCAAAATGGCTGGGACTAGAGGCACGTGCCAGCATGCCTGGCTAATTCTTAAATAGTTGTT